GAAGCCGCAAATTCGATATACATTGCATAAGACGCGAAACGTTACGCCTCGAGGTATTTCCAATATTGATTTCACGTTTATTTAAAGTTGCTTATTAAAAACACCGTGATATAGATGAAAATTTTAATATACCTACTTGCAACACGAAGATTATTACAGAATTCTATCACAGAAATCCTCACAAGAAACTAATGCTACCAAATGAACACATTAATGAATATATTAATTCCAAAATTTGCTAAAAAAATTATTATCGTCTTGGATACTCGGATAATTTAATTATCTTGATATTTAAAGTTTAATCATTGGCCATATTAAGAATGTGGATATTAATCCAGCGGAATTTTCATAAATAGGGAAACTCTGCTGAAGAAATTCGGACCCTCCTTCGCTAATAAAGGGTCCCCTGAATATCCTGTCACCAACTCATAATCAATATAGCTTCAAACTATGTTTATATATTGAGTTCGATTACTTTATGAGGCCTGCATTTGACGGGAACATTCTCGTGAATTAAATTCGAGCAGTAGTCGCCGAGAAAACGAATCGTTTCACATTTCAAGTATACAATAACAAACCTGTAAATGTCGTACGAAGATCTAACGATATAAGAATTTAAACAGTTTCTCTTAGTATGAGCTGTATCAGTAATTTAATTTGCACATTGTATACATTAAATCTGAAAAATTGCGAAACGTAGAGTGAAAGCATTAATTTTTAATCAAACAGGAATTGCATTAATGAATTTTATGAAGCAAGATTTACGCTGTCGCCTATGATGCAGTTGAATGAGGTCCACTAACAATATATCATACTAACAAAGATAACCTCTGTGTATAATGGGATTTTTTTTGTTTATAGTGTAATATGTCATTCATTTTGTCGTATACACTCACACGGTAGTCAATTCTAGTTAAATGTGTTCGTTTGGGGTAGGTATAAAATTTATTTATCTTCAGCACAGACGGGTGGGTATTGTGTACGTGGTGATGAATAGTATGTTAAATTTTAATATCTGGATTAACATACATATTTAGGTACATTTGTAGTAAACCCCGGAGTTCTCTGTAAAGCAACGTTCCATCTAACACCGCAGTAAAATATTAAATAAAACATAAAAGTAACTTCGACAGTTGACCTTTATGGGCTGCTAAATATATAAAACGTTTACAGATGGGAAAGCTGCAGGATTATTGTGAATGAATTCATGATAGAATTTCCCTCCGTTTCAAAAGGCTCTTTGAATCGGAAAGTTTGGGGGATAAACTGTCGGTACGGGCGGCTCCTTTTTTTTAGAAAACCAAACACATAATCGAACTTGCAATTTTCTTCCTAGACGACAAAATTCGATCGTTAAACCATTCGAAATGTCGTTTTTCAGGTGCACTTTGTAGAGGAAACTTTCGTTTAGCAATTCAAATGCGGCTGCAAAACGCTCCGGAAAACCACCGTTCCAAGTTGAATTTATCGTATTTTCATTAACAACTACAGGTTGTCGTGGGTCTTAAAAAAAGGACACGTAATCCTTATTGAGTTTATAAAGAAGGTTGATTTAAATGAAGAAAAATGTTATTTTTGAAAACCGAAGAATAATATATTTCAATTTTTGTTCGTGACTTACACGCTTCAAGTAATTCTTGCTAATCGAAAATACCAAAGCAAATATATCTACGTACATATTCCCTAAATCTCGATTTGATTCGATTCGATGTTATTATTGTTGGGATTGTTCCGCTCGAGTTGTATTCGAATATCGGATACGTATACGAATGTATATACTCGTATACGGAATCATGGGATCGTTTGCAATTCAACAGAAAGTTTCTGTTATTGTGTTTAGCATGAAATGTATATACATATTTTACAGAGGACGCTTTACATAAGTCCGACTGGAACGGTTGCAGCAGAATCGGGAAGACTCCGGGGAAATAAAGGCGCAAAAAAGGCAAGTGGCGATTTCGTAATAGAATAAAAAATGAAAGCGAGTTAATCTTAGTAAGTATAGTAGATGGAAATATAAAGGGAATTAGCAGTGGAATAAATGGCATATAGAGGGCATCAACAAAAATATGATAATTACTTTGAATTTAAATAATGGTTACTTTTAAATACATAAGTAAGGTATGTTTTAATTTGTATATTTTGTATGAACATTATCTTAAAACGGTTTCAGAAATGTAGTAAATCATTCTAATTGGATTTAGAACTTCAAACTGACATTTCAGTGAAACCGATAAATAAACTCAATAAATTTTATAAACTTCCAATCGTCCAATTCCAATTTTTTTGTAACAAACGAACCCACATAACATTATTTATACAATAATCCGCTTTCCGATATCTCTCCCTCAATCTTAGTTTAAAATGACTCAGAAGTCCATAAAATATATTTTCAATTTTCTAAATCTGTTTCTCATGTTGTTCGGATGCCGGTCCCTCGCCAGAAAAATATTATACAGAATAGCCACGTTATGAAAACCGGCGATTTAGTCAATATTACAGGACATAAAAAGGTGATACGAAATTGCCAGACGTTTTAGTCGGCTTTATCGTTTCACTTTTACTGAAGGAGATGTAACAGTAAAAAAATATATAGCTTGTTGTTATCCTTCCTTGCAGTTAATAGAATATAAAATGATTTCATTGTTATTATACTAATTTTAGTAACAGCTAATTACAACTATAATTACCTTGAAATATAAATTCGAATTAACTACTAGAAATGAATAACATGTTTAATCTAACGTCATGAAATTTAAAATGGGAGAAAGAGAATGTTTACACAGTAGGTAGTATAAGTTTATAAACTTACTAGTCCATTTATTACCTCGTTTAGTGTTGAACACTGAAATACAATACAAAAGTATGTACATAGTTTTATGGGAACAATAATCGTGTTTCAAATATGTAATTATTATTTCTAGCATGTCTTATTTTGTACACAAGCAATATAGCGCCTTACATAGTTCATAATCTATTTGATATTTTATTGATTTTTTATTCCCATTAAAAGGTCGATTCAATTTATTTGAACATTATCGAAGGTGAAAACACGAATTGAAGTTTTTCATGCTGCGATCGTGCAAATAAATTTCCATATTCCCAATAAATGTATAAAAGAGTATAAAAACAGTTTTAAAGGTAAAGTGTTAAAAGTTGGCCGAAACCACTATTGAAAATTGAAATTGGATGGATATCCATTCCATTTATCATGTAGTTTGTTGTGTAGAGTTGAATGGTAGGTGCGGGTTTGCATAAAAACGAAATCGGCTTAAATAAACTGGACCAAAATAATGCATGCCTGCATTTGTTTCCACTATAATTGGGGAAAGTTAATAACAAGAGGTAAATCATTCCGGTGTTAAAATTGGTTTACATTTAGCATTTTAAAATCAAAATACTAAAATATAAACCTTGAAAAAAAATAGCACTTCTACGCAAAGAACAAATAAATTCCCTAATAAAAAAATAACAGAAAAGCTAACAGAGAGACTTTTACAACATGACGGAATAACTTACTTTTCGGGAGATAATAAATTTTTATTAACCCGCCCTCATTTTCTCCTCGTCTTCGAGCCCTATCCCCCCACCCTCATCGTCGCCCATAAAGTATCGCGGTAGGTAATAGAGACAGAAAAATCTGGAGACTTTATTCAGCCAGGAGAATTCATTAAACAGCGACAGTGCGGTTATTTATTCGATTCTCCTTTGGATTTAGATTCTTCTCCGCCGGCTTAGGTTCAGGTTAATCGGATAAGACGTCGTGATTTAAAACTGTGAAACTTTGATTATTATTTGCAGACGTGAATTGAAAGCATGCTGGGGCTATTAATTTTAACTACGACATGAGGCTCATGTTGCTCGATTTAACCGTGAATAGGTACACAATAAAAATCTTTCTTGAATAATTATTATTTTAGGAGTTCCATTCAACACGCTCGCGTTAATATAAGACATAAGTACAACCTAAAAGTTGGAGAAAAATTTGCAAATCCAACGTTTTGTCATCTTTTCACGGAATTTATGTTTACATTTTTTTGGAGTGTAGGATTTAAATCAGTAAAGCTCAATGCAGACCTCGAGTTTTACTACGGAAAACCCTTTTTTATTCTTCTTTTAAGTGCTCGTTTCGTACATCACGACTTCATTATTACTTTTGCTGAATCGACTGAGTGAAATGAAACTATCAGAATTACGAGTAATAAAGACTTCTTTTCATCATCGCTTAATCCGGGATGTTTTATGATAATTTTTTATGGAAACATTCGAATGTAATTGTCATGACTGAAAAATTTTAAAGATGTGTTTTTACTTTATGGTAAATTTGTACTTCTTTTTAACTAAAGCATTTGGATATCAAAAAAATCCTGTAGAATGGAAAAACGTGTGATAAAAAGGTTCTACTTTGTAACATTTGAGCGAAACGAATGATTTTCAAAAAAATCTAATTTCTTCAAAGAAATTCAAGTTTGTACTGATCAATTTGTTTAAATTTAATATAATTCCAGAGCTTCCAGACGGGACTTTTCGTTAGTTCGTTACTTCTATTTTTTCGGCCGAACGTGGATCGCATAGACATGGGCACATTTCCTTCAATAGCTTGTGCTTCGCTATAGAGCGTAAAAAATGCATTAGAGTATGGGGAGTACGTGCCTCACTTTTTTGATGCGTTTTTAAATCGACGTTTTTCTTAATATCCGATGTACTTGGCGTGGCATGAAATAATAATAGGTAACAAGCAGCGATAGCTTGCGGCCCGAATCGACGGCGGAAAATCCCTGCATGCACGCTTTTGATTGTTCAATGATTATTAAGATTAATTGCAGATCTATAAAGAAAGTTATAAAAAAGCTACGCGACGAAAACGGCCAAATCGAAGTTCCTCTTTAAATATTCAGCTTCGGTACAGATTCGTTTTATTCAAAAGGTAATATATTCAGTTTTATTGCAACGTATTATGTCGAGAGCTTGCGCTACGGAAAATATGAGGAAACACTTACCGAATAGATTTTCCGCATGTCTCCTGACAATGAACTCCTGAAACAAGAAATATTTTTTTACGACTTCTGCAGCCGATCGAATTGATGGCATTGTAAAATATCGGAACCCGTGAGACTACATAAAAACGAGACTTTTGTTGCTTTTCGGTCACTGATTTACAGCGTTTGTTTTGTGCCGGTTACATTATTAAAGATTTTCGGTATTCTGATAAACCGCCAACGAATTACGTAAATCGAGAGCTTTAACAGTAAAAATGAAAAATTCAAGCAAATGAAAAAGGATAAATTAATGATAAAGCAGGGTATTTTTGATATGTTTTTTATGCTCTTGGTAAAATTAAATTACTTTTAGTTGATGTGGCGAAATTCTGCCTTTCAGAGCGATTTCTCATTACTATCCTTCCCGCTTTTTTCTTCATTTAACTGCAAAGCCGTTCAGCAATTTCAAAGTTCGTCAGAAAATATTTAGGGCTGTTTTTAGTTTTAATCTCAAACTCCTGTAGATTCTAATCTCCTAGAAGACCGACACAAAATGTTTATGCCGTGGAAATTAATTTGCGCGATTTTCATGTAATTTCGGTTTATCGCAAAAGCTACAAACTTCCCGCGTTTTTCCCCATTATTTCTTTTGCATTTCGAGAGAAATTCGCTAACTCTCGACGCGATGCCAACGGCACCGAGGCTGATCAACTCGCCTTTTTTTAGTGTTGCGAACTCGTAAATAAATGCTGGGCCTTTTAGTTGCTCTCTGCTATGACGCCGACGGTATCGAAATTAAATTTCTTTACCAGACGACAGCTCCAAAACTGTTTTACAAATTTCAAACGGTTTTCAGTTTAATCGACAACGGGAATGCGTTTTCAGCTTTGACATTGGATTTTAATTTACTCTGGGTACTGAAAATTGAAATTAAACAATCTCGTATGCAAAATTAGTATAGTTAGCTACCTACTTGATTTTGAAACCCTGAGGAGAGTTTGAACAAAAACAAACATATTGACTCAAAAATTACAATACTGTTTAGGATATAAATCAAAAGTATCATTAGACCATACCAGAAATTATAAATCACAAAACTCTTCTGTTTTGCAATTTGGCATTTCAAACTTTTAACTCTTTTATTTGAACGAACGTCCATCTCGACAGAATTGAGGTTTAATCGATGGAGATCATTTTTTACGAGTCGGGAACAAAGCAGGTATAGAAGGGAAACAATGTCGAAAACGAAATTGGATCAACCTCGTCGAATTTCAGAGCGCATTTCACACAATAGTTAGTAAAGATTTATGATAATTCACGATTATTCGATGCAGCAAACGCGATTTTTCCGGATAAAAGAACTGCCGTGTATCTCAGGTCACGTATAGATGATGATATCATTACACATATCGAGGAAAGTAATTGACGATAAACGAAAAAACCTGTAGAATGGAATTTATTGACGACGTTCCTTAGATTATGTATTTTAAACTTAACGTTCTATAAATTTTTACAATTGCTGCACATTGCCTGTCTGTTGAGGAAAATTCTCTCGTGTTTACACAATGGTATACTTGGTGATATATTTATTGTAATTTTTGAGATGTATTAATTTATTGCTAATTAATTTCAGCCGACTAACACTTAAACCCGAATATGTGCGCTGTTGATAACTAAAACAATAGATTTCCTTTTATAGCGCCTCGAGGATTAATTTAACATCCACCCAACAGTTAGTAAGGGAGTAATGTAGCGAATAGGATAATTCAATCAACAATGAATACGTGATGTAAGATCTCAGATATTAAATAATCCCAAACAATTTTGTAATAAATAAAATTTTATAATAATTAATATCTACATAAATCGGAGTTATTTTATAAAAAATGTGAAAAAACAGAAAAATTAGTAGTAGAATCGTATTTTTTCGGACGTTTCATTTTCAGCCGTAATGTCAAGTTTTTAATTTAAACCAATTCGAGTAAAAAATGATAGGTCATTACTTTTGTCATTCAACATTTATTAATTCAATTAAAGAGGCCTTTCTCCATCTTCTCTATAAAAGGAAAGACTTGTTTTTAATAATCTTCTTTTTTGCGACTAATAAATTGTTCCCCGGGATCAGCATTACTCCTAATGGATTCATTTCAAAAAAAAAACAATGGTAAATTTTATAAAAGAAAAATTCGAAGATTTATTCGATTAGTTGCAATTGTAATTAACAAAAAATTCCACATAAAACATTTTTTTTTCTAATTAACCAATAAATCCTTTTCATTACTAGTTACTTACTTCTCATTAGTTACTTGTACCCAAAATCGCCAATCTTTAAGTCCCCTATTAACTCGCGAAGTTCTCATCAGTTATCATTCTTCTTGACACTTTCAAAATGATAAATTCAGAGTTGTTTGTTGGAGGAGAATTTCGACGAGAATTCGCGACGAGACTGGAGACTTTCTATATAAAAGTCACATTACTACTTATCTCCGACTTATATAAGCACTTTTAAATGGGTAAAAGGGTGGTGTTAATCTTAGATAAGGGAAATAATAATGCAAATTAAGTTAATAAAAATTTAAATTATCCCGCAGTTGTTTAAAGAGATACCTGTCTTGCTGGATTTATATTGTGGCCAATTTTGGTTGATATAAATTAGAATTTTACTTATCCCATTAATTACAAACTAAACCAGCGTATCTAAGTTTATTTAGTTTGGTTATTAATCAAAATTAATATAATATTGGTTTGAAATTATAAGTATTTAAAATAACTAAAAGTGTTCAACATACAGAATAACTACAATCCTATGATAAATTAACTGATGGTATTAAGGGATTCACTTTCAATTTTATTAAACTTACATTCAAGTTACAATAAATAATATCATCAACAATCGAAGTGTACACAAAACAATCAATTTTTACAAGCCATTATTGAAACTTATTAAACTTTATTAAAGATCCGAAACCGCTTTAATATTTGAATCGAATATAGGGAGCGACATCACTGGAAAATACTTAATCAGAGCCCGAAAACAAACAGCCATAAACTCGGGAGAAACATGACGGAGTGTTGAATACGAAATAAAGAATGATATAAAACCTAAGTTTACGCAAAACAAGCGTGAAATTATATAGATGTACCTGTCGTAAAATACTCTAGTTGAGAAGGATGCAGCTATAAAATGTGTAAAAATAAAATTCCGCAACATTGCAAAGTGCGTGCTTATTATTTTTTTATGAGTCACGTTTTTTAAAAAACGTGATATGAATTGTTGTAACTTTTTCAGAAATTTTGCGGCCAAATTAATTAGTTTCAAGTTAAACCAAATTATTTCTTTATCCATGTAACTACGGAAAATACGGTTCTGTAGAAACTATCAATTGAGTCTCTATAGTTGGAAGTTGGAAGTTTCAATATACGGCAAAAAGAATAAGTTATGATTGCAATATATTTCAAAGAAAAAATATAACAAACGGTCTTCTAGAGTTTAAGCAATCTTTAACAAAAAACTTTGCAAGGACGTCGTTATTAATATAACATTCTCTTATCTGTTCAGGTCAAAGGGTATTCGAAAATATACGAACATTTTTGGCCGGAGGTTATATCTGCAATTTAAGATCGAAAATTCCTGCCGGTTAAAGCTCATCCTCCGTAAAAAAAAGTCCATAAAAATTTTGGTTAATTTTTTTCTATACCCGAAATTATAAGGCATTGTTGAAGCAAGGCCAACGAGTGACTACTGGAGCGTGCTGATTCAATTAATAAGAAAAATTCCCAAGCTTTTTTCTGTAGCATCCACGTTGTGGCGGGTATCAAAATAACCTTCGCGTAAAATAAAAATCTCCATTCATCACCCCGAGGGGAGACGTTTTCAATAACTCGAATGGAACAAAACTCTTTAACACCAATCTGACATCTCATTAAAGCTGAAAAAGTTTTCCCAATTAAACGCCTAAAAAGAAAGATGATGGCAAAAAAACGAAAAAAGTAAATAACGCGTTCCCTAAAGTCGATAGTTCCTAATGAAAACGATGAATACACTATTAATTTTCCTAATAAAAATGTCGAATTTTTTAAATTAATTTACCGCTCGGCGCGCTGATTTTTGATAGTATTATAGCTCACTCCCTAAACCCTAAATTAACGCCCGAAAAGCTTTCTACGTGACGTAAAAACTGTTTTCTATCAATGTTTTTATGCTTGACGTTTACTCTAATGGAGATCTGAAGTGACCGGAGGCGCCATTAGAGCCTAATGAATCGACACCGAAGCCAAATTGTCTCTTTTCGTTCGATTCTCCTTTTTCGCATTTACTGAACCCTAAGGGAATCAATGACACCGGCACAATATCTCGGAAGGAAGTTCCTGAATAAGGGCACGTGTGTCTTCTGCTTGCTGGATTGTTACGCTTCAATATCAAAATCAAAAAATATAATTCGAACTAGTTTTTGAGATGCTGCTTGACGGCTGAATGAAATGCTAACAGACAAAAATTTTACCCTTGAAAACCCGCCAGATTAATCGATAACCAATTTAATTTCATTAACTGATTCATCTAACGTTGACTATGTAATTTTAATAACTATTAGTTGGAATAGCATTACATTTTGATAATATTCTATTCCATTCCATTTCATTTTAGTTAGATATAGGTACCATGGTAGATATACACTAATGTTTGTGCATTAATTGATAATTGTCATTAATTTGATACAAATACACCTAAATAATATCCCTAAATAACATAAATGAAACAGGAAATATTCCTACTTTTAAATATTCCATTATCTTATTAGTACATAAATTTGATCATTTTACACATTTTATAATATAACACTCGATATACTAATAAGTTATGTAAACGAAGAACACTGTTTATATTTTCACTTCTTTGCTTTAGATTTACACAAGATTTTAAACAGGGCTTCATTCGGTTATATTTTTAATTAAAAATTAATTCGAGCGATGAAGCGAGATAAAAGATAAAAACTTTTAATTTTAATAAATTTTAACGAGTCGGTTAACGCAAATGTTCACATTTTACTGATCTCGTTT